ATAGTACAGAACTGATTTAAAGGAGTGGTAAACATAGTACAGAACTGATGTAAAGGAGTGGTATACAATGCACAAAACTGATGTACAGGAGTGGTATACATTGTAAAGAACTGTGTACAGGAGTGGTATACATAGTACAGAACTGATGTAAGGAGTGGTAAACATAGTACAGAACTGATGTACAGGAGTGGTAAACATTATACAATGTACAGAACTGATGGACAGGAGTGGGATACATAGTACAGAACTGATGTAAAGGAGTGGTAAACATAGTACAGGAGTGGTATACAATGTACAGAACTGATGTACAGGAATAGTAAGTAAACTATGTTCAGGATTGGTATGCAATACACATAACTGAATTACAAATGTGGTATACAATGACAAAATTGATGTATAGGAGTGGTAAACACTTTTCAGTATACAGGAGTGGTATACCATGACAGAATTAGTATAGTGTACAGTACACAGAAGTGGTTTAGTTTACAGTGTACAGGAGTTGTGACATGTAAATAGATAACTTTAAATCAAAAACACACTGAACAAAACCTATTAAGACATTATTCTACAAAAGTATCTTTTTATACAAATCTTTTGACATGTATATAACCTAATTTACTTCAATTTTCTTGTCTGTTCGCAAAAATATACACAATTTATATTGGACAGTGATAAGCCTGAAAAAGCATCAATTCCAAAATCAAACCAAACAATAGACACCAATAAGATAAAATAAAACATCAGTAATATTACCTAGTTTCTAGGATTTTTATACGGTGGGTAGGGTAATATTTCCTAGCTTCTAGGACATGTATACAGTGGGTAGGGTAATATTACCTTGCTTCTAGGACATGTATAAAGGTGGGTAGGGTAATATAACCTAGCTTCTAGGACATGTATATAGGTGGGTAGGGTAATATTACCTAGCTTCTAGGACATGTATACAGTGGGTAGGGTAATATTTCCTAGCTTCTAGGACATGTATACAGTGGGTAGGGTAATATTACCTAGCTTCTAGGACATGTATACAGTGGGTAGGGTATATTTCTACTCCAATCAAAGCATATCATATATTGGGTTTAGTCAAAAAGGAGTTTTATTTGTTACAAACACAACAAGCATCCAGGAAATGAATCTTGTACACCTTATTATTTGGATTAATAGTTGTAAAATACCTGATCTTATAAATAGAAAGTCAAGTCCATAACATTCATCAAATAGTGACAAAACACACTTAAAACGGAAGTTAATTAAACACATATGTTTCTGGTCAGAAATCCTAATGACTCCTGTTTTATAAATTACCAATATTTCTCATTTTAAAATATATATTTACATCAAATTCATATGTATGTGGTTAAAATCAGGTTCCCTTTACAAAAGATTTTGTTATGTTTCGTTGTCACCATGATTAACAATAATTAGTAATAACAAAGCTGTACCTGTCCACAGGTGTGTCAACAGCTAAATAATGAGCACTTCAGTAAAAGTTCTCATTTAGTTTTCAATATTCAATAAATAAACAGTCATTGTTTAATCCATTACACATGCAGTAAGGAATAAATCATATGATGGAATGTTGTATCACTGACGTTAACCTTTACCTGTTAGCTCTACCTCTACATGAAAAATGAAAACAAACTTTTTTTTAAAATTTTGTTTCTGTCTAGCTCCATTAAAACTACAGTACAAGTTATACAAAATATTAATTTATAGGTAAACATGGTATTAGCAACAGATATGTATTTTGTGTAAATAATGTAATATACAATATAAAGAACAGTTTCTATGATCCACTACAAACGTAGTTTGTCAGGCTGTTTTTCTCCATATATCTTAATTTTCATCTTTATACTACTTACACATACAATGTATATTGGGATTACATTTTTATTTTTCCCATTTGTTTGGGGGGGGGGGGTGGGGGGTGTTTCACTACAAAAAAGATCGAAATAGATTGAAGAAATTTTGCATAATTTTGTTCATGATAATTGTTTAAAGGTACCATTAAAAATGCAAGCTATGAGGTGTACAATGCATACAAGAAATATATTGAAGTGGTACAGATTTACAACAATTCTTTAATAAAAGACCATTTGAATAAGTCTTATTTTGGATATTTAATTTAACTTATTTTACAATACTTAAGGCACACATATACTTTTTTTAGTTAGAATTCATACCAATATAAAAGGCCAACATTTATTGCTAAGTGATGGTGTAATTTTTAACCCTTTCACCACTGTAGACCATAATGGACCCTTCCAGGTGAATGTATGATAGAGTCTACTCAAGTGACCTAGGGGTGAAAGGGTTAACACACTATTTGTTGTCTTGTCTGAGGACTGATACCTCAGAGTGTTTTTAGTGGTTGATCACCAGTAGAAAGCAGTTTAAAGCATAAATGCACAAATCACTCTATGAATCTGACAAACTATTTTGATATAATAGCTTTGCATCTTAAACAAGCAAATTCTACAATAACAATGATTTGTAAACTTTTGAATGTAAGTGTACATAAAAGAACAAGAATTACGCGTAATTATATGTGTCGCCTGTCCAGCTTTGTCAATATAATAAGCATTATTATTAATTATAAAATGTTGTAAGTGATTTCTGAAACTGCTAAAAAGCCCTAAGTTTGAGTCCACAAATGTGAGGGTTTTCCACCCAAAATGGGGGAAATCCATGAAATATTAGGAAATTCCAGAAATTTCAGGTTTTTATCCGAAAAAGTGCAGAAATCCATGAAATGTTTTTAGAGTATTAGGCTCTACTACCCATGATACATGTATGATTGAGGTTTGGTTGGTCTAGCTCTTAATACTTTGTCAGAAAGAGCCTAATATGCATGAGCTAAATGCAAAACCTTAACGTTGATTTTTTTTCCAAGTCTAGAAATTTGAGGTTTTTACCAAAAAAATACAGAAATCCTTGAAATGCTAGTAAAAAGTGTAAAGCATTCAGCTAAACATCCCATGATACACCTATGACCCAAGTTTGGTTGTTCTAGCATTTATACTTTGTCAGAAACAGCCTAATATGTAAGAGCTAAACGCAAAACCTTAACGTTGAGTTTTTTTCTAAGTCCAGAAATTTGAGGTTTTTACCAAAAAAATGCAGAAATCAATGAAATGTTTTTAGTGCAGTAGGCTCCACTACCCATGCTACATCTATGATCGAGGTTTTGTTGGTGTAGCTTTGTCAGAAACAGAGCTAAACGCAAAACCTTAACATTGTTGACGCCGCCGTCGCAAAAGCAGCGCCTATGTGTCTTTCCGACATCCATTGTAGGCGACATAAAAATTGCTTGTTCTGCGAAAAAAGTTTTCAATCTTTCTTGTGGAAACTTACAGATACACACATTAATTTGAGTAAAATTTAAGGAAGGCTTACGTTGAGTACATTTTTAATACACTGTAGTACTGTTTACGGTAACAAATTCTGAAGGTATGTTTAATACAAAGGCAGGATCTCAAATTATTCAAACTATTTGATCCTATTGGTGAAATCCTATTTTCTTTCATGGGAGAGGTCATTTACCTGCATAGCATTGGGAGAGGTCATTTACCTGTATATATCGTTGGGAGAGGTCATTTACCTGTATATATCGTTGGGAGAGGTCATTTACCTGCATAGCATTGGGAGAGGTCATTTACCTGTATATATCGTTGGGAGAGGTCATTTACCTGTATATATCGTTGGGAGAGGTCATTTACCTGTATATATCGTTGGGAGAGGTCATTTACCTGTATATATCGTTGGGAGAGGTCATTTACCTGCATATCATTGGGAGAGGTCATTTACCTGTATATATCGTTGGTAGAGGTCATTTACCTGTATATATCGTTGGGAGAGGTCATTTACCTCCATAGCATTGGGAGAGGTCATTTACCTGTATATATCGTTGGGAAAGGTCATTTACCTGTATATATCGTTGGGAGAGGACATTTACCTGCATAGCATTGGGAGCGGTCATTTACCTGTATATATCGTTGGCAGAGGTCATTTACCTGTATATATCGTTGGGAGAGGTCCTTTACCTGTATATATCGTTGGGAGAGGTCATTTACCTCCATAGCATTGGGAGAGGTCATTTACCTGTATATCTCGTTGGGAGAGGTCATTTACCTGTATATCGTTGGGAGAGGTCCTTTACCTGTATATATCGTTGGGAGAGGTCATTTCCCTGCATAGCATTGGGAGAGGTCATTTACCTGTATATCTCGTTGGGAGAGGTCATTTACCTGTATATCGTTGGGAGAGGTCCTTTACCTGTATATATCGTTGGGAGAGGTTATTTCCCTGCATAGCATTGGGAGAGGTCATTTACCTGTATATACCGTTGGGAGAGGTCATTTACCTGTATATATCGTTGGGAAAGGTCATTTACCTGTATATATCGTTGGGAGAGGACATTTACCTGCATAGCATTGGGAGCGGTCATTTACCTGTATATATCGTTGGGAGAGGACATTTACCTGCATAGCATTGGGAGCGGTCATTTACCTGTATATATCGTTGGTAGAGGTCATTTTCCTGTATATATCGTTGGGAGAGGTCCTTTACCTGTATATATCGTTGGGAGAGGTCATTTACCTCCATAGCATTGGGAGAGGTCATTTACCTGTATATATCGTTGGGAAAGGTCATTTACCTGTATATATCGTTGGGAGAGGACATTTACCTGCATAGCATTGGGAGCGGTCATTTACCTGTATATATCGTTGGTAGAGGTCATTTTCCTGTATATATCGTTGGGAGAGGTCCTTTACCTGTATATATCGTTGGGAGAGGTTATTTACCTGTATATAGCGTTGGGAGGGGTCATTTACCTGTATGTATCGTTGGGAGAGGCTATTTACCTGTATATAGCGTTGGGAGAGGTCATTTACCTGTATATATCGTTGGGAGAGGTCCTTTACCTGTATATATCGTTGGGAGAGGTCATTTCCCTGCATAGCATTGGGAGAGGTCATTTACCTGTATATATCATTGGGAGAGGTCATTTACCTGTATATATCATTGGGAGAGGTCATTTACCTGTATATATCGTTGGTAGAGGTCATTTTCCTGTATATATCGTTGGGAGAGGTCCTTTACCTGTATATATCGTTGGGAGAGGTCATTTACCTCCATAGCATTGGGAGAGGTCATTTACCTGTATATATCGTTGGGAGAGGTCATTTACCTGTATATAGCGTTGGGAGAGGTCATTTACCTGTATATATCTTTGGGAGAGGTCATTTACCTGTATATATTGTTGGGAGAGGTCATACCCCAGTGACTACCTGGGTATATCTGTGTTACATTGTTTCACACTTATTCTAGCAGGTTTTACTATTATTCCAAACATCATCCCCCACTTCAAGTCTACTCATTTGGACACTCACTTTTCTTTAAAAACCTTCAAAATGACTCACTCCAACAAAAAAAATCTCATTTCTTTCCATAAACTTCAGGATCATAAATGGAATGACAAATTTGATTTGAAATATATCAACATAGGATCATATGAGACAGCGTAAAAGTAGATGGATATTAACCAAATGTATTGAAATATTTCTTTATCGATTCTGAGGAATATTCTATTAAGAGCTATGAAGATCTGGCTTAATATTGCTGGAATTGTAGAAACATAAGACATTGGGCATGATATCAGTTTCTATAAGAACTCTTAGCATCTAGGTGATATGTCATGGCACATACTTCTTTTCCATGTAATATCATTGTACACAAGCACTTCCATGTAATGTCACGGTACACAAGGACTTCCATGTAATGCCACGGTACACAAGGACTTCCATGTAATGTCATGGTACACAAGGACTTCCATGTAATGTCATGGTACACAAGCACTTCCATGTAATGTCACGGTACACAAGGACTCCCATGTAATGCCACGGTACACAAGGACTTCCATGTTACACTGTCATGGTACACAAGCACTTCCATGTAATGCCACGGTACACAAGGACTTCCATGTTACACTGTCACGGTACACAAGCACTTCCATGTTACACTGTCATGGTACACAAGCACTTCCATGTAATGTCATGGTACACAAGCACTTCCATGTTACACTGTCATGGTACACAAGCACTTCCATGTTACACTGTCATAAAATGTTGCTCCCTGTCTTAGTTGTTATACAACTGCAGACTCTACAGGTAAATAGAACTCGAGTTCTATCCTTTACATCATGGCATACCCTTCAATTTCAATCATCAAGCCGTGGTATATCCTAGACTTCCACAACTTGAGGCGATTCGGATTCTTTCCTGAAGCTCGTCCTTACTTGGATATTCTGGTAGTTTGAGCAAATTGATACTGGAAAGCAAAAAGGATAAATCATTTCTATAGTTGATCAATTATTACAGAACCTGATCTGAAGTTTCATGGAAATAGCCAGTGTAGACTATTGGACTGTACTTATTAAACACGAGTGTCTGAAAAATCACTTGTACTGAACTATTGGACTATAATTAATACTATATGTACATTTATCACTTGTGGATTTCCTTTGCCCAGTTTAAGGCATTTGTCAGTAAGTATTTGTATGATATAAATCCTTCTAGTAGGTGTGGAACTGACCATGTGCTGGCAGTGGGAAGAATCTGGTAGGTGTAGGGGCTACTACTGATGGTAAATTTCTGTGCTCCTCCTCCTCCTGTCAGCTTAGAAAATCCTCCATATGGTACTCGTGAACTGCAACATAGATATTTAATTTAACATTCATGAGTACTTTATTTTACATAAGTTTATTAAATAGTTTGACCACTGTGACATACATATTTACTGTACAAATATTCATGGTTCCTGTGAAAAATATCTACTGGTATGTAGAATACATCAATTTACACAAGTTTATAAACATGAACTGTACAAATAGTCATGGTTCCTCTGAACACTATCTATGTAAAATACACTTGTACATTAACCTCAGCATCTTCATAATATCTTAAATAGATATATGAAAGATATCCAAACCAGTGAAAATAGAATTATGATTTATAGCTATCCAACTGTGTTAATTATCAAGTATAACACAGAGCTTCAGTGGGTTTTATAAATCACAATTCATCTCTAGTGGAATATTTTGTTTCTCCCATACTGCAACCACAAATAATAGACACAGCATTGTATGTTATTTCATGCTGTGAAATTATCAAAATAGTATACAATTGTCTGGAGATGATGAACCATACAGCAGGTACATGAGAAATGGTATCTTTCTGCTTGAGAATATTTCTGTAATAAGCTGCCGCTTTTTTACAAACCTATGTAGCAAAATGTCATAAGATAAACCTCAGGAGAATCTAGAAATCATTATACAACCATGGTTCATAGTAGACTTCAGAGATCTTAACATATACAATTATAGATTAGAAATCATTATACAGCCATGGTTCATAGTAGACTTCAGAGATCTTAACATATACAATTATAGATTAGAAATCATTATACAGCCATGGTTCGTAGTAGACTTCAGAGATCTTAACATATACAATGATAGATGACGGAAACAGTGGCTAATAAGTGCATTTGACAACCTATGTTATGTACCTGCCCGTCACAACCTGAGTTATCTACCTGCCCGTCACACCCTGAGTTATGTACCTGCCCATCACACCCTGAGTTATGTACCTGCCTGTCACCACCTGAGTTATGTACCTGCCTGTCACACCCTGAGTTATGTCCCTGCCTGTCAAACTGAGTTATGTACCTGCCTGTCACACTGAGTTATGTACCTGCCCGTCACAACCTGAGTTATGTACCTGCCCGTCACACTGAGTTATGTACCCGCCCATCACACCCTGAGTTATGTACCTGCCTGTCACCACCTGAGTTACATACCTGCCCGTCAGTGCATTTGACAACCTATGTTATGTACCTGCCCGTCACAACCTGAGTTATCTACCTGCCCGTCACACCCTGAGTTATGTCCCTGCCCATCACACCCTGAGTTATGTACCTGCCCGTCGCACCCTGAGTTATGTACCTGCCTGTCACCACCTGAGTTATGTACCTGCCTGTCACACCCTGAGTTATGTACCTGCCTGTCAAACTGAGTTATGTACCTGCCTGTCACACTGAGTTATGTACCTGCCCGTCACACCCTGAGTTATGTTCCTGCCCGTCACACTGAGTTATGTACCTGCCCGTCACACTGAGTTATGTACCTGCCCATCACCCCCTGAGTTATGTCCCTGCCTGTCAAACTGAGTTATGTCCCTGCCTGTCACACCCGGAGTTATGTACCTGCCTGTCACCACCTGAGTTATGTACCTGCCCGTCACAACCTGAATTATGTACCTGCCTGTCACACTGAGTTATGTACCTGCCTGTCACACCCGGAGTTATGTACCTGCCTGTCACCACCTGAGTTATGTACCTGCCTGCCACCACCTGAGTTATGTACTTGCCAGTCACACCCTGAGTTACATACCTGCCCGTCACACCCTGAATTATGTCCCTGCCTGTCCCCCCCTGAGTTATGTACCTGCTTGTCACCACCTGAGTTATGTACCTGCCCGTCACAACCTGAATTATGTACATGGTTGTCACACTGAGTTATGTACCTGCCTGTCACCACCTGAGTTATGTACCTGCCTGTCACACCCTGAGTTACATACCTGCCCGTCACACCCTGAGTTATGTACCTGCCTGTCACAACCTGAGTTACATACGTGTCCATCACCAACTGAGTTATGTACCTGCCTGTCACCATCTGAGTTATGTACCTGCCTGTCACCACCTGAGTTACCTACCTGCCCATCACAACCTGAGTTACATACCTGCCTGTCACCACCTGAGTTATGTACCTGCCCATCACACCCTGAGTTATGTACCTGCCTGTCACCACCTGAGTTATGTACCTGCCTGTCATACCCTGAGTTATGTACCTGCCTGTCACACCCTGAGTTACATACCTGCCCGTCACACCCTGAGTTATGTACCTGCCTGTCACACGCTGAGTTATGTACCTGCCTGTCACCACCTGAGTTACCTACCTGCCCATCACAACCTGAGTTACATACCTGCCTGTCACCACCTGAGTTATGTACTTGCCTGTCACACACTGAGTTACATACCTGCCCGTCACACCCTGAGTTATGTACCTGCCCATCACACTGAGTTATGTACCTGCCTATCACCACCTGAGTTATGTACCTGCCTGTCACCACCTGAGTTACATACCTGCCCGTCACAAACTGTAATAGCTGCACTCGCTCGTGCTCATTCGAATCCTCCAGTATCTCCCAGAACCACTGCAAAGTTTAGTTAATGTAAGTTGATTTTCAAATCTATAGAAAACTGAATGTTTCCAAAAGCAAATTATCAATTGCAATACATTTAAGATATGTTACCAGATTGATCAAAACGGGGTTGCAATAAGAATACTCCTGAATGTCCTACAGAGCATAGCATTATACCTTACATTTCTTATAGAAAATCACAAGCATTTCTTATATTCTGTAAAATGAATTCCCCCGAAAAGCTGGCCACTTGTTGAGTGTAGCTACCTTTATGATGTCTGATGCCTCACAGTAACCATTGTAGTCAGTGTTCGCCTTCCAATCATCAACACAAATCTCTGGTAGCCCGGACAACATCAGCTCCTGGATAAGGATATGTCGCTAGTGATACATACTTGTTGTAATCATATATCAGCTGATGTAACATTTACTTCTGCTCACAAAATTAAGGGAGCAACAATAGGTATTTCAGGTCCGTTTCTGCTTTATATTTCTCACTATGTATGAGTGGTATACTGTATGATGTCAAGTGTATATCTGTTCATACTCGAAAACATCTGAACTAGGGATTGGCCTGGGAATATTTACCAGTTCAACTTCATCAAACATCTGAACTAGGGACTGGCCTGGGAATATTTATCAGTTCAAATTCATCAACCATATGAACTAGGGACTGGCCTGGGAATATTTTCCAGTTCAAATTCATCAAACACATGAACTAGGGATTGGCCTGCGGATATTTACAAGTTCAAATTCATCAAACAAATGAACTAGGGACTGGCCTGGGAATATTTTCCAGTTCAAATTCATCAAACATATGAACTAGGGACTGGCCTGGGAATATTTACCTGTTCAAATTCATCAAACATATGAACTAGGGATTGGCCTGCGGATATTTACAAGTTCAAATTCATCAAACATATGAACTAGGGATTGGCCTGGGAATATTTACCAGTTCAAATTCATCAAACATATGAACTAGGGACTGGCCGTGGAATATTTACCAGTTCAAATTCATCAAACATCTGAACTAGGGATTGGCCTGGGAATATTTACCAGTTCAAATTCATCAAACATCTGAACTAGGGACTGTGGTATGAAGGCGTGAAAGCCAGACAGGAAGCTCTCAATCTGCGGCTGAATCGCTCGGGTCATCCTCAGCTCCGTCACCAGTTGGACATACTCTTGCTGTAAGTGTGACAATACAAAAGAATCAGTAAAACAGTTACATTTATCTTATCTCAACATACATTGATGACCAATGTCTATGGTTACCCATATATTTACTACATAAATGATCAGTGCCAGTATTTAACTATATGTATAATACATTGTTGATTAATCTCAATGCCTACCTGTATACCTGGTATATCATTTCATCTTGAAAATGCTTTATGAACAAAGACCTTCGCACAACAAAAACTAATGTTGATGTTAAGCTTATATGCATAAATATTTTATTCCAAGGCTATTTAACATCAATGGATGTAAATGTGATAGCATGTAATGATATACTGTCAAAGTGACAAATACAATACCTTGTTCTGGATTATATATATGTGTGTATATGTTTATATATATATATGTGTGTAAATTTTATAAATATTAGTGTGTATTTTTAGTAGCCATTTATTTGAACTATGAATATTTATTAAAAAATTACTATTTGATGTTCCAAGCCAGTGCTCATATGTTAATGTCTAAATTATAATTTTGTTATTGTTTGAAATGTATGTAACCCAAGGGAGAGGGCTTGTATAGGCATAGCCTGTTGCCCAATTCCCATTAAATCACTTGATTTAATAAAATATTTTGAAATGAAAAAAACTCACCTTGTTCTCCTCTGTGACTTGAGTCATAATGCCATTGGGTTTTAACTCCACTTCCTGCATTTTTCCAAACACATCGGTTTCCACGGAGAAAGTGAGGTCAAGGCCAAGGTTACTGATGTTGTGGTCTAGTATCCACTGTAAACAAACAGGTAGTGTTACAGGTTTACTGCCAAAACAACTACAGAGGCTCGTTAACGAATAAACCATATTAGAACGCTACAAAGGAATGACCTATTCTGGATTTTTTTAAGCTCAGAAGCAGCAGCGACTCAAATTTTGTTCATGCATGGAATCCTCGATGTAGTTTAATCTGGCATGATTCAAATCAGGTAATTTTAATAGTTAAAGTATTGTGTAACCTTGTTCTAGAACATCTGGGATAGGTAATTTATATTCAAATCAATATACAATGTATACTATTAATTCCTAAGATAACTTTATCCGTTTGCATTCACAAAATTACTCTCATGGTTGTCTTTCAATTCTAGCCTATACAAAATGTCTTTTTCAATTACTTACATCCAGACAAATGGGAAGTTTGAGATAATATTATATAAAATATTGTGTAAGTGTAAATTCCACTCAAGCTTGAGCCTTCCCATTACCTGAAGATTTTTGGCATATTCGGGATCGATAGAGGCAACATCTTTGTAGTTTACAGGGATACCTGTCAATACATGTCCAAACAATTATTTTATATACAAGTTAGTAAACTTTACATCAACCATTCTGTTTTGTCAAAAAAAGTTATTTCCCTTCTGATGTTAACAAAATAAATAATAAAACTGAGTGTTTGAAAGGCATCGGGCCTATATTGATCACTTTCTTTATTACTTATCTGAAATAGAAATGTAGCTGAAAATATTTCAAACAAGATGAAACAACAGTGACAATCTTCAGTTACTTAGACTCAAATAATTACCATAAAACATCTGGCATGGGCTATCAGAGGAATGTCTAGTTAAGTAGTGTTATAAACAAATATTGACAACATATCAACCACAGTAATATAATTAGTTAACAAGCACTTTGTGGAGGATTATAAACCCTAATATCTAGGAGTTTGTAGCATACAATACCTAGGATGTGTTTGTAGAAAGACCGTGTGAAGTAGATACTAAGTAGATGTTGATGGTAGAGAGCCAGCCCCAAGATGTGGCCGGCAAACTGGAAGTAGTTCAGGTGATCTGGGTTGATGGCGGAGTTGCTGTTGGGCTGGAATGTACAACCTGTTGAGAAAGAAACTGAGTGTTCAACCTGTGGAGTAAGACATTGAATGTACAAGCTGTGGAGTAAGACACTGAATGTACAACCTGTGGAGGACACTGAGTGTACAACCTGTGGAGTAAGACACTAAGTGTACAACCTGTGGAGAAAGACACTAAGTGTACAACCTGTGGAGAAAGACACTGGGCGTACAACCTGTGGAGTAGGACACTAAGTGTACAACCTGTGGAGAAAGACACTAAGTGTACAACCTGTGGAGAAAGACACTGAGTGTACAACCTGTGGAGGACACTGAGTGTGCAACCTGTGGAGTAAGACACTGCATGTACAACCTGTGGAGTAAGACACTGCATGTACAACCTGTGGAGTAAGACACTGAGTGTACAACCTGTGGAGTAAGACACTGAGTGTACAACCTGTGGAGAAAGACACTGAGTGTGCAACCTGTGGAGTAAGACACTGAGTGTGCAACCTGTGGAGTAAGACACTGCATGTACAACCTGTGGAGTAAGACACTGAGTGTACAACCTGTGGAGAAAGAAACTGAGTGTACAAACTGTGGAGAAAGGCAAACATCTCACACCAAACCAACATCAATACATAGTTTCAAAAGTGTAAAACTAAACAGGCTCTAAACAGTTAAAAAGTAAGAAAGACATATTTATGAAAATCAATTGATACCTACCATCAGCAGATTGTGTGAACAGAGCATAATCAGGGTTGAGGATTTCCTTTGACAAAATATCAAACCATTCCCTCACCACTCCTCGGCCCTGGAAAAAAACAAAAATATCATTCATTTGACATCTAACTTATAATAAGATTTTTTATGATATTATGTTATCTATGACTAACATTATTCATACACTTCATGGAGAATGCCTTCTTAGCATAGCTTCCCTATTCCCAATTAAACATGATGGTGAATGCCTTCTTCAGTTACCTTTCCCCTTTTCCAATTATCTCTCTTCCCGATTAAAACCATGGAGAAAGCCTCCTTTAACTTACCACACCCTCTGCCTTCTTTAACTTACCACACCCTCTTCCCCAGTAAACTTCATGGAGAATGCCTTCTTTAACTTGTCTGTTGGCATTATGAGCATCCTCTCACAGCTACTGTGGAACAACCGCCCTGGAAAATATAACCATGCATACAACATCAGGATTGCATATCTTTCACTTAACAAACAAGAAGTATAACCCTAAGACATTATAGATATATCAGAGCTGTACCAACAACATCAGACACATGTTCATGTCCATCCTACCTCTGTCCACCACTAGGATGTCCTCCTGGTTCAGTGTGGAATGTATCAGCCCATTCTCATCAGGGGTACTGCCCAGGTTTTCGTAAAACCATCGCCTCCTCGTCTCAAACGGCTAAAACAATCATATTGAGCAACACTTAAACAAAGACTTGTTTACGTTATGCAAAGAAAGTTTTATTGTAAGATACACAGTATTGTACAGTGCCTCTGGTGAATAAGTTGTTGATTTTGTTAAAATTTAAATGTTGAGAAAATCTATAAATCAGCTTTTTATTTTATGTTTTTTGAAAGTTTATTTTATAACTAATTTCACCAGAAATCAAAAAGTATCTCAGGCTTAAACACCTCCTCTCTTAGGTAACCAGGCTTTATCAAGTCATTGCTAAGGTGACCAGACTTTAACACCTCCTCTCCTAGGTAACCAGATTTTAACAAGTCATTGCTAAGGTGACCAGGCTTTAACACCTCCTTTCCTAGGTAACCAGACTTTATCAAGTCATTAAAAAGGTGACAAGGCTTAAACACCTCGTCTCTTAGACAATCAGACTTTATCAAATCATTGCTAAGGTGACAAGGCTTAAACACCTCCTATCTTAGGTAACCAGGCTTTATCAAGTCATTGCTAAGGTGACCAGACTTTAACACCTCCTCTCCTAGGTAACCAGATTTTAACAAGTCATTGCTAAGGTGACCAGACTTAAACACCTCCTCTCTTAGGTAACCAGACTTTATCAAGTCATTGCTAAGGTGACCAGACTTAAACACCTCCTCTCCTAGGTAACCCGACTTTATCAAGTCATTGCTAAGGTGACCAGGCTTAAACACCTCCTCTCTTAGGTAACCAGACTTTATCAAGTCATTGCTAAGGTGACCATGCTTTAACACCTCCTCTCTTAGGTAACCAGGCTTTATCAAGTCATTGCTAAGGTGACCAGACTAAAACACCTCCTCTCTTAGGTAACCAGGCTTCATCAACTCATGGCAAAGGTGACCAGAATAAAATACCTCAACCCAAAGGTAACCAGGCTTTATAACCTCATCCCTGCCCAGTTAGGTAACCAGACTTAAATGACTCATAGCTAAGGTAACCAGTGGGCAGACTTGATAGTCTGATCACATTGCCTTACCTGTGCTTTAATGATATACAGGAACTGGGACATCAACTCTGGACATTCCAATAGGAAATGGAAGTGGTCAAATATCACTTTTGGATTTCTAAAAAAAAATAGAAAGTCAAATATGTAATTGTTTTAATAATAAAATAATTATATTACATATAAACACCATCATTAATCTTCATTTTTGTAGTAAATCTTGAGGGTTTGGAACAATGGAGTAAAAATATTAGATCTGGCTACTTGTACTTAATTTCCACATTAAATATTTTAGAAAAGTGAATTGTAATTGTGTTTGATCCACTGTGTGATAACATGTCTTACCCACCTGCTAACTAAAGCCTTCAACACATGGTTATGGCGCCAAACAAATTCTATGAACCTGGGGGACGTCATCCTGTCAAAACACAAGGAGATTCATATAGCAGATAAAACTCAAAACACAAGGAGGTTCCTATAGCAGATAAAACTCAAAACACAAGGAGATTCATATAGCAGATAAAACTCAAAACACAAGGAGATTCATATAGCAGATAAAACTCAAAACACAAGGAGATTCACATAGCAGATAAAACTCAAAACACAAGGAGATTCCTATGGCAGATAAAACTCAAAAACACAAGGAGATTCCTTTGGCAGATAAAACTCAAAACACAAGGAGATTCCTATAGCAGATAAAACTCAAAACACAAGGAGATTCCTATAGCAGATAAAACTCAAAACACAAGGAGATTCCTATAGCAGATAAAACTCAAAACACAAGGAGATTCCTATAGCAGATAAAACTCAAAACACAAGGAGATTCCTATAGCAGATAAAACTCAAAACACAAGGAGATTCCTATAGCAGATAAAACTCAAAACACAAGGAGATTCCTATAGCAGATAAAACTCAAAACACAAGGAGATTCCTATAGCAGATAAAACTCAAAACACAAGGAGATTCCTATAGCAGATAAAACTCAAAACACAAGGAGATTCCTATAGCAGATAAAACTCAAAACACAAGGAGATTCCTATAGCAGATAAAACTCAAAACACAAGGAGATTCCTATAGCAGATAAAACTCAAAACACAAGGAGATTCCTATAGCAGATAAAACTCAAAACACAAGGAGATTCCTATAGCAGATAAAACTCAAAACACAAGGAGATTCCTATAGCAGATAAAACTCAAAACACAAGGAGATTCCTATAGCAGATAAAACTCAAAACACAAGGAGATTCCTATAGCAGATAAAACTCAAAACACAAGGAGATTCCTATAGCAGATAAAACTCAAAACACAAGGAGATTCCTATAGCAGATAAAACTTAAAACACAAGGAGATTCCTATAGCAGATAAAACTCAAAACACAAGGAGATTCCTATAGCAGATAAAACTCAAAACACAAGGAGATTCCTATAGCATATAAAACTCAAAACACAAGGAGACTCCTATAGCAGATAAAACTCAAAACACAAGGTGATTCCTATAGCAGATAAAACTCAAAACACAAGGAGATTCCTATAGTAGATAAAACTCAAAACACAAGGAGATTCCTATAGCAGATAAAACTAAAACACAAGGAGATTCCTATAGCAGATAAAACTAACATATTCTGTATCTTGGAATCAAACCAAAACATCATTTTTTTTATCATAAAAATGAATGGCTTTGTCTTCCTTGGTTTGCAAACCTTTGGCCTTTTGACATTTACGCATATATACACTCGTAAATTATTAATTAAAACTCATTGTTGAAGATGATGATGCTGAGGTTTAGAAAATACCTTCTAATAAAACTTAAGCAGTCACTCTGACAAGTATGTCAGTGAAGATGACAAGATTAATTGATTGACATACACGAATGCTTAGGTCAATGAATTAAGTGACAGATAAAAGCTAGTTCTGAATGTAACAACACAATAATGATAGAGAAGAGGTTAATGTTGTGGTATGGGCATCAAATAATAGATAAAATCATATTGATATTGTATGTAACCTCAGATAATAGATAAAATCATATTGATTTGGTATGTAACCTCAGATAATAGATAAGAGCTTATTTATGCTGTGCTTGATATCAGAGAATAGATGAAAGCTTGTTGATTTTGTATGTAACAACAGATAACAAATAAGAGCTTACCCCTGCTGTACTTGACATGAGCAGCATGTGTAGAAGGCCTGAACTACCCCACAGATCCTTGGGAGGGTAACACCAACCACATCTTGGTCTGCCTGCTCAAGGCTCAGGCGCTTTAAAAGCTGCTCTTCCATATCTGCAAGAGTGAACTTGGTAGCTACCACCTTGTGATGGGTTGTCGCTCCCTCAGATGGAGTTATCTCCCATTCTACACTAGCTCCCATACTTTTTGGTTCATCTTTCTCTACTTTTTCCTCTGTACCTACTTTCTCCACTGATACATCTTTTACTGTCTTACTTTCCTTAATTGAATCAACAGAGTCTCCAACATGAGGATCATTTAAGCACTCTTTAACAAGGGAATTCAGGTTTCCATTGGATATTTCTTTTTTAAAATTTTCTGGATTTCTTTCAAATTCCATCTTGAGAAGATTCAACCAGTCATCCAGAAGTTGCCACAGCATCTCAAGTGGCTGAAACAAGATTCTTAGAGTTAGTTGAAACACTAGTGATATAGCAGTAATGACAAGTGGGAAAGAGTCAGTGAAGTACAGAAATAACTCTACAACTAGAAGTCATATAAATGAATAAAGCTTGAGAATGACTTTTCCACATAAGTACTTTGTATGTATATTGTTGTGATGGGGCAGGGGAGGGCACATTTTGTTTTCATCCTCTTGCCTTCAATACCCCCCCCCCCCCCAACATATACAAATGTATACATGACTAAGAATTGACCTTCACTGCTCCTGAAACACAGGTATTCATAACTACAACCATCCTTAAATGACCATAGCTGTTGATAGGACGTTAAACAATACTAAATCAAACCAATCCTAACTACAAAAGACCTAATAATTAGAATTTTGGAGATATTGTTTAATTTTTGTTGTCAAATACAACCTGCTAATCAAGTTTTATTTCAACATTTATCAATGAAGGTGAATGAGCACTGCAGTAATTTAAATATCTTTTATGTATATGTAACTTCAGCAGGATTACAAGTATAAACATTAAATCCTTGACCCAAAACCGAAAAAAGATGTTTTCAAGTAAGACAGCTCTGAAATCAGATGGCACTTTCTACTTTTATTCCGAGCTTATCAATCTTCCACTGTTGTAAACAAAACGTGTACAACAGATATTTTTGAGCATACCTTGAAGATTTGAGCCGTTTTGGGCGACATGGGTGCTACACCGTTGACGGCGTAGCTGTGGGGTGAGGTTGAGGAACTGGATATGGACTTATATAGGGTACACAGGGTATTAACACATCGCAGCAGACTCGACACCTGGGTCTCCACATTGCTGGACACACTGTAACACAAATATATTTACTAACAGAATGTCACACATCACGGTAATCTCAACATCTTGGTCTTCACATTGATCTAATACTGTGCGACTAGTTATCCTAATGACTGCTTACTCAAACAATCTATATATGTCTTTTTATTTAGATAATCAACTCTCTTTTAACCTTGTGTCAGACATGTCTCCAAATAACTGGACACTCTACAAAACACACACATTAACTTCTCATATACCTAAGTATTGAACATCTTTCAGCTGGCATTGCTAGTCAGTAAGAATGCCATATAGAACATGACAAATACCATGAAGCATAATATCTCTTTACAATGGAACTAGAACATGACAAATACCATGAAGCATAACAGTTCTTTATAATGGAACTAGAACATGACAAAAACCATGAAGCATACCACTTCTTTACAATGGAACTAGAACATGATAAAAACCATGAAGCATACCACTTCTTTACAATGGAACTAGAACATGACAAAAACCATGAAGCATACCACTTCTTTATAATGGAACTAGAATGTGACAAATACCATGAAGCATAATAGTTCTTTACAATGGAACTAGAACATGACAAATACCATGAAGCATACCAGTTCTTTACAATGGAACTAGAACATGACGAATACCATGAATCATAATAGTTCTTTACAACGGAACTAGAACATGACAAATACCATGAAGCATAACAGTTCTTTACAATGGAACTAGAACGTGACAAATACCATAAAGTATACCTGTTCTTTATAATGGAACTAGAACATGACAAATACCATGAAACATAACATCTCTTTACAATGGAACTAGAACATGACAAATACCATTAAGCAGCCCAGTTCTTTACAATGGAACTAGAACATGACAAATACCATTAAGCAGCCCAGTTCTTTACAATGGAACTAGAACATGACAAATACCATTAAGCAGCCCAGTTCTTTACAATGGAACTAGAACATGACGAATACCATGAAGCATAGCTGTTCTTTATAATGGAACTAGAACATGACAAATACCATGAGGCATACCAGTTCTTTACAATGGAACTAGAACATGACAAATACCATGAGGCATACCAGTTCTTTACAATGGAACTAGAACATGACGAATACCATGAATCATAATAGTTCTTTACAACGGAACTAGAACATGACAAATACCATGAAGCATAGCAGTTCTTTACAATGGAACTAGAACATGACAAATACCATTAAGCAGCCCAGTTCTTTACAATGGAACTAGAACATGACAAATACCATGAATCATAACAGTTCTTTACAATGGAACTAGAATGTGACAAATACCATGAATCATAATAGTTCTTTACAATGGAACTAGAACATAGCAAATACCATGAAGCATAACTGTTCTTTATATTGGAACTAGAATGTGACAAATACCATGAAGCATATTAGTTCTTTACAATGGAACTAGAACATAACAAATACCATGAAGCATACCAGTTCTTTACAATGGAACTAGAACATGACAAATACCATGAAGCATAACTGTTCTTTATAATGGAACTAGAATGTGACAAGTACCATGAAGCATAATAGTTCTTTACAATGGAACTAGAACAAGACAAATACCATGAAGCATAACAGTTCTTTACAATGGAACTAGAATGTGACAAATACCATGAAGCATAATAGTTCTTTAAAATGGAACTAGAA